AAAGAGTACGAGGGGGAAGAGGAGGGGGAAGACGAAGAAGAGGAAGGGACGCATGAGGAAGAGAAAAAGGAGGAGGGGAAGAGGAGGAAGAGGAGGAAGAGGAGGAAGGGGAGGGGAGGGAGGAGATGGTGAGTAGAGAACAGGATGTGGGGTAAAAAGGCCAGGGCGGAACGAATTCATTAGATAGCTGCAAGGAATGCAATAGGTGATAACATGATGGAAGAATGAACGGAGGGACCAACCCTTTTGCCGTGAGGCAAGAAAGAGGAAAGGGAGGGAGGGGAGTGGAGGGGGAGAAACTTGGCAGGAAGGTCTGGAACCTTTCTCCTCTGGAATGTGCTTGGAGTGACAATTCACCACACCTGTGCAGAATTGGTAAGCTCTCGTAAAAACTGCCAATTTACTTTTTGAAGGTTGCTAATGAGGAAAACCCCCTCCCCATGTGGCATAATTGTGATGCACTCAGTGGAAAATATATCCATTAGCACCATTCGTGTTTAAAACAGAAATAAAAACGAAAAGTTAAAGGACTGAGATCCTTATTATAAAAGGGAGAGGGGGTGGGGGTATAACCAGTTACGTTTGAAAGCTTTCTGGTTGTTGTTGTTGTTTGTTTTTTTTGGTTTCGCACCGAGGAATGATTTTCTGCAACTTTTATTTTCTGAGGTATATATAAGCACTTTACTTTATACATAACTTTTGTCTTATTTCGTCATCTTATTAATAAAACCTGGGCCCGTTCAGCTATGAGGCAGTTATCACAAGAGCTGACCAACCTGTGTCAAACAAAGAAAGAGCATTAGTTCTCTTGTACCCATCTCACACGGGAGCCACAGCAAAGGCCGAGTATAGCAGCATCCCCTTATCTCCCACTCGATACAGGCTATAACAGTAGCCAGGCGCTTGTGTTCCGTGTTCCTGTGATATCGCCAGGAGATACAACGCACATGGTGGGGTTTCTTTTTACTCTTCTTTTTTCGCTTTGGGTCACGACAAATGCTATTAGTACTTTTACTTTTATGGTCTTGCTGTATTCCATAATGATAATCTCTCCCTCTAAATAACTATCTCAGCAGCAGCAGCAGCAGCAGCAACAACAACTACTAATATATTGCTCTCTCTCTCTCTCTCTCTCTCTCTCTCTCTCTCTCTCTCTCTCTCTCTCTGACGTTCAATCGTATAAACAACGGAATATGGAAATGCAACGGTCGAGATAAGGGAAAATAACATACAACACAATTTTGCCTAATGGGGACAAACCTCGAAGAAAAAGTTTAAAACTGCTAGCTGCATGTAGCCTACTTAATAAACAACTTGGCCAGCACGCAGAAACTAGAGGTTTGAATACGAAAAGGGTCCGGATGTTTCTCCTCTTCTAAGAAAGGTTTTGTATACTCTCCATCCGATGTCTTTTAAATGATAGTACGGTAACAAAGTGTTTTCCCTTTTTTTAAAAAGCCGACAAAACAAAACAAAAAGAACAATCTAAAACAAAAATAACTCATTTATGTTTTCCTCCAGAAACATCAGATGGTGGAGATCTCGAAATGCCGTGCCACTGGATATAGCATTATACAAATTTGACTAACTTCTCATCTCAGCAGAACATCGCTCTTACTCATTTCAATAAACATCCATTGAAACTCGACACTGGAATGTGTTCATTACTCATATGCCATTCACACACTAAAACAAGCACTACAGCAACGTTGAAAACACAGAGAGCTGGACATGGTTGTGGGGATAAGATTATAATACCTGTAGTACATATACCTATTTTTGGACGCCCTCAGAATCATTTAGGAGGCGTGCTGCTTCGATCAGCGCATGATGATGGCGTTCACGAGTCGCCCAGGCGGAAAGGCAATGTCTTTAACATAGAATGCTAAAGAAACTACCACCCCCACACTGATCAAATGAGTTTTGTTTCCTGACGTTAGTGACGACTTATTATAGACACAAACAGTTAGGTTGGAAAATATGGCAATGTATGGGTTAAACGCCTTCAGGGCTAAGCCCAACACTGTCTAGAACTATTTGGTAGGGTAACAGAACGATCTGGCAGTAAAAGGGTTAGCGCCTTAATGACAACTTACTAGACACAAATAGTTAGGTTGGAAAATATGGCATCGTACTGGTTTCGCGCCCCTCTCAATACTGTTTTTCCTTTCTTTTCTTTTTTTTTACACGTTGATATTTTACGTCTCAATCGTCATATTAACTGAGATCATTCGGGAGGCAGCCAACCAGGGCTGAGAGGGATACAACGTCCTAACAAAAAGACCGAGATATTCGGTAAAAACTCTCCCTACACGGGAATCAAACTCAGGTCTTTTGCGTGAGCTGGCAAAAAGCCGTATAATTACCGCTGCACCATAGACCCCGGTCAAAACACTGTAAAACTATCTACCAGATTGCACCTTCGAATTTAACGTCCATTTTCGACAGGACTGAGCCAAAAGCGCGGAGAGCCTTGAAAACTCCCCAAACAACCCAAATTCAAAAACACCTTCAGTGGAGATTCGATCCATGGTTATCAGTTCACAGCCCAGCATGACACCGCCAAAGCTACGGACACGCCCACTTTCGAAAGCGTTATTTTTACGTGCGAGTAAAGAAATGCCCTTCGGCGCGATAGCGGTCACTTAGAGTTGGGAGAAAAGCAAACGGGGCAAACAGAAACATCAAAGAGAAAGAAAAAGGCAGGGCCTACAGTGGCACTCTCCAACCACCCGTTTTGAAGACGGAGAACCTAAGTTTGAGTTTGAGTAAGGAAAAGCACATTGACTCAGTAAGGCTCATTTAGTGCTGGGAAAAAGTAACAAAGAAATACAGAAACAACAGACGGAAAGTAAAGAAGTAGGACCTACCAATGGTGCGCCCCCCCCCCCCCTTTCCCAAATCACCCGCTCACCGAGTTAATGAACCTGTGCTTGGAGTAACGAGGAAGGAAAACAGACGAAGGGGCGCTCTGAAAGCTATGTATAATGTTGGACAATGGAGCGGACGGCTCTGTTTCATATCACCACCTGTGTGTGTTCTTGAACTCGGATTGTTTAGTGAAGTTTTCAACGTTCTCAAACCATTTGGCTCTGTCTTTTCGGAGAAGGAAATTCAATTCGGAAGTCCCACCTCTTGAATAACCTTCATCATCATCCAGCGCCAGATCTGCGACAGACATCGGCGATCATGGTCCTCCATTCATTCCTTTGTTCGGATGCTCTCAAAAAAGCTATGTTTCCCTGATCTTTCCCTGTTACCCATTTGTTTAGGTTCCCTACGTATGTTGTTCTGGTCCTACCCCTGCCTCGTTTGCCCTCAATTTTGTCAGTGAGAGCTAGATGTTCAAGATCCTTATGTCTATTCAGGTGTCCCAAAAACTGCATTTGTCGTTTCCTGATTGTTTTTAACATTGAGCGTCCCACGTGGGCTTCATAAAGCACTACCTCATTTGATTTCTTTTCCTTCCACGATACTCTTAGCAGTCTCCTAAGAAACCACATACTGTGAATAACCTTACTGTGCTGAAAAGGGCGTTAAACGCTTACATCTACTTTCCTACAGACAGGCAAGGTGGGTGGAACAGTAGACAAAAGTAAGTATCACATGATGTATACATTTTCTCCACAAATCTGCATTATACTTGGTTGTTCCAAAGCATCTCTTCTTAGAGCTACCCACTATTCGTCTCTTTTTCATGTTTTTTTTGTATATGTTTTACGGCGCTCGCAACTGCATAAGGTCATTGAGTGCCAAGGGGTGGAAGTCAACAGAGTAGTCCTTACAGATAATCAGACTTACTCTGCTCACCTCTCTAGCTGTCACCTTTTTCACAAAACCCTAAAGCCTTAGAGATAACATCCTGTATATTCTTATATGAAAAACACGCCAAGTCCCTGGGGAGCATCTCTTCCTAGAGCTACAAACTTTTCGTCTCTCTTTCTCAAAACCGTAAAGCCTTAGAGATCATATCCTGCATATTCTTATACGAACAACATGCCAAGTCCCTTGGGAGTCGCTCGATCTTCTTCCCTCGTCAAACTTCGTCCCCTGTCAATGGCCCTGTAAGAGTTACGTTCTGTAATATTCCTCTCAGGGATACTCCCACCCATCAAGTCTTGACAGTGCGTCATCAATCGTTTGTCTGTCTGTACCTCTCTTTCCCTCACCCCCCCCCCTCTCTCTCTCTCTCTCTCTCTCTCTCTCTCTCTCTCTCTCTCTCTCTCTCTCTCTCTTTCTCTCTCTCAATAACCGTGTGGCATTCTTTGCTATTCTGCTACGTGATAATTACCCCGCCCCCTGTCCTCTCCCTGGAAAGTGACGGTAAACAAATAGCCGATGGTAACTGTAATAAAAAAAAGTTTTAAGCCCCCAGGGACACAGTTCAGATCAATGACGACGTGGACTGCTTCAATTACCTGTCAGAGCCGATACGGACCAAGTGCAGTACATACAACATACCAACAGACAGACCGAGACACTGCAGAAATAACTTTGTTTTAGTGAGAGTTTGATGACCCTTGCAACAAAATACGGTTATGTAAGTGCCGAAGGTTAGAGGTGTTACAAGAGAGTAGCAAACATA